ATAATAATGTGAAATATTACAATTTAAAATACCTGTTTTCTATTTTAATTTATTTTAATGTAATGTCATGTCATGTAATATACTGTATATGTACTAAAGATGTATATATATATATATATATATATATATATATCTTTAGTAACAACATTAAAGTCTTGTCAGTTTTGAACATTTTAATGCATCCTTGCTGACTGACTTTCAAAACAAATTATATATATATATTTATCTATTTATTAATATTTATATGTATTTTTATATTTACAATGCATTGTATATATTTATCCGTTTATCTGTATATGCGTTCTGTGCGACACAGGTATTTGATTAAACGTCAGGCTATCAAAGAAAGCTGATGTGCATCTGTTTAATAAATTACTGTGTTGTTTTTTCCTGCTAACCAGATGGAGTGATGGTCCCCAATCATGTCATTAGGCTCAAAGATCTCTCCGTTATGGTGGCACGAGCAGTGTTCGGGGGGCACACACTCGCCCGCGTCGCTGAGGAAGAGTCCTCTGGGGCAGAAACAGCCTTCCTCACAGAAGCCACCACAATCACCGTCAGGCAGCGACAGAGAGCGGCACGTCTGATTACACACACTCCCACACACCTCATACACCTGGTCATCCGGACAGGTCAGTTCTGCCCAGACACACACACACAAACACACACACATTTGCTCTTCTGTCCTGAGAGAGACCTTCCATTGACTTTTATTATGTAAACCTTTAAAATGCATTTTTAGATTTTCAAAAACACATTATTTAGTATATTTATTCAGCTGTTTTGCTGTCTTAACATGCAATACACTGCAAAAAATGATTTTCTTATTCAGTATTTTTGTCTTGTTTTCCAATACAAATATCTAAGCATTCTTAAATCAACATGCATTTACTTTAGAAGCATAATGAGTCAACTTGTTTGCTTTGAAAAAAATACTTATTAAAACAAGAAAAATAAAAAAAATTACTTTCCAAAAAGTAAAAAATATATTTTAATTAGTTACATTTTAATTTATTTGTAATAATACATTAATCATAATTTAATAATATATGATTAATATATTTTAATAATAAATGTAATCATTTAAAATTATTTTTCTTACCACACTGGCAGATTTATTTTTATTCTGTGATATAGATTTTTCATGTTGTAATCACAAACTTACTTAATTTTGATATATATTTCAGATAACAAGACATAATATCTTCTCTTCAAGTTCTCTATTTCAGAATGAAGATATATTTGTACTGAAAAAGAATATAAAATACTAAGAAAAAATAAAATACTAAGAAATAAAAACATATTTCGTATGGCATTTAAACACAGAATGAGAAATACCACAGTATCCATGTCCCCTCCAGTTGATTAGCACTCCCTTGGCTGCGCAGGCGGCTGCATAGCTGCGAACAGCATCACACAGACAAACTTGGCCGTCTGCGCAGGAGCAGACGTCATAGCGGCAGTTTTTTACATATGGCTCAGGGTTGACCACATAATGACAGGGCACAAACTTCACAGAAAGCAGCACGGCACAGGCCTCTTCTGCAAAACGTACTGTAGACACAATACGACACGTGACCTAATGGCCTTTGTTGCCCTCTGGTGTTCAGTGCATATATAAATCATGATTTCATACTCGCAGCATTCAAATTGAGATGATAATTCCTAAAAGTGCATTTATACTCTTTAAATATGCATCTTTACAGGGTTGTAACCGCCATTAATTTGTGTTTTTGAATGAAAATTCTTAAACTTTTACATGTGGTGCCCCTGATTTTGAATATTTGTTCATATACATGTATCTGTATGAGTGTGTGAGTGTTTATACCTCTCTTAGGGTTTAAAATACAGGGATCTGAGGGTTGCAATTGAACATTGTCACAGTCTGCGTTCATCTTCCATGCGTTGCCGAATCCTTCGACGCGTGTCTCCACCAGCCCTCCCACTGTTAAGAAGTCGTCTCCTTGGTTACCATTATAATTACCGCACAGACCGCACGTTTTCCCAGCATAGGCTGGGTTTAGCTGCAAACACACACACACACACACACACACACACACAAATGCACTCATAACAGAATTGCAGCACAGGAGTATTTTCACACGCAGACTCTATTATATGCGCATGGGAATTATTTATACACATTATTTTCAGCACCTAACGCTCCCAGCTTTCTCAGACACACAACATCTGATCCTGACTGCTGGAAATTCAGTTAAAGGTGGTAGATTGTTTTACAGGGTTTCTGGATGGTCGAAGGTGGTCGTTAGCTAAATCAAACTGGTTTAGGTAATTGAAAGAAGATGCTTAGCAGAATGTTCACGCTGCTCTTTTCCATGCAGTGAAAATGAATGGAAACGGAGGCTATCAAGCTTCAAAAAAGACAAGAAAACACCATAAAGCTGATATCATAGTTATTATAAAGGTGGTCCATTAAACTGTATTCCAATGTGTCTTGAGGTGCAATATTTGAATGTATTCCAGTATAAATCCATAAGAAAACATATTGGGCATTTCCTCACACTAAATCATATGGCTTCAGAAGATTTTAAATATAGCGCAAAAGTAATGTGTACCACTTTTATACATTTATGGTGCTTTTTTTTATAATTTAAGGAGCTTGACAGCCTCAGTTAAAATTCATTTTTATTCTGTGATATAGTGCTTTCAGAATTTTCTTTTTCTATTTCATGGAAAAACGTAAGTCTCACAGGTTTGGAATGACATGAGAGTAAATAAATGATGACCAGTGTTATTATATTAGTATTTTTTATATATACTATTATAGTATTCAATAATATTTTGAATTACCTTTCATTTTTATATTTTCATTTTTTAATTTGAATTTTAGGGTCCTTTGTTGTGCTTTTGTAATTTTATTTTTAGACTTTAATTTAGCTGTTTATTTGTTGAGTTAGTTGGCAAGGCAACATTTCTAATTTTCATTTCAAGTTTTTACATTTTTCATCTAATATTTCTATTTTATTCTATTTCAACATTTTTAAATGACCAATTTAATTTTTATTTTTTACAGTTTAAGTTTTCCATTTTAGTTTTTGATAACAATAGCAACACTAATGATGACACAATTTTCATTTATAAACTTTTTTATAAACTTGTAAACTTTTCCTTTAACCTGGTTAGAGCTGGTTGAGCTTGACCATGTTAAGCTTGTATAGCCTGGTTTTCCCAGCAGAACACACTTACTCTGAGCAAAACACGTCCTCTGCCATCCCAATCCAGATGTAGATCATCACCATAATGCAGTCTCACAGATGACAACACAGTATTCTGAACTCTTAATGCACCTACACACACACACACAAACTCATTATTGTTATGTGGTGCTATGATTTGTACACCTCTATTATTACATTACAACTGACATTTTATTTGAAAAAAAAAAAAAAAGGCATCTGTATGTTCTGTGTATTTCATGCTGACAGACCATTAATTAGGGGTGTCTTCACGTCCATTCCATCCACAGAGACCACGCCCCCATGCTTGAGGCGAACCGTCTGTTTGGGCAGATCATGGAACCTCAGTGTAATTGATCGTGTGCAGACGGCATCTTGGTCATCAGCACACTTGAACAGAAAAATACAAACATAAGCACACATCCTAACAAACAAGGACAAGTGTATATACCATAGGGAAGATTTCAGACCTGTGCAGTCTCAATGATGACAGAAAAAGAGTTGCTCTGACAGTCTTTAGCCAGCAGATATTGACAAATACCACTGAAGGTGAAGAACTTATTGTCAAAGGTCTTATAATGGGACTGTCCTGTCACCAGACACTCCCCTGAGGATAGACAGAACAAGAAACCGATTAGAAAACAATGTTTGTAAAAAAAATTTTTTTAAAAAGAGTATTTTTTGTGTATTTTTGTGTAAAAAAGTATTTATTTCAATAAAATCTAATTCAAAATATTAACAAAAACTATATAACTATATTATAACTCCATAATATATCTATATAATAATATTACCAGGGCATTCTTCATTGGTGCATTCCCATGATCCATGGCGACAGACGCTAAAAGTTAAGGTAAGTTAAGTTAAGACAATGTGTACAGATACAGCAGCCACAAATATTTGAATGCATTGTTTTGTAATGTGCACGTATGTGTATTTGTGTGCGTGTCCCACCATGTGTTGCAGTCCTGCGATATGGAGGAAGCAGGAGGGTATCGGCGTCCAGCATGCATGCAGGAGCATTGAGAGACATCAACACAATGATCTCCATCCAGCACCTTACCCGCTGACACACACATTTCACACATTCAACACTCAGCAGGAAAAGGCACACTACAAAAATAACCATTCGTGTGGTCTTGTTTTTCAGTAGAAATATCTAAAGATAAATTTACCTAAAAAGCAAAATTTCAAAAGATTGCATCACAGAAAATTTAATTTATTCCTGAATTTTTAAAGCTGAATTTTCAGCATCATTACTCCAGTCTTCAGTGTCACATGATCCTTCAGAAATCATTCTAATATGCTGCTTTGCTGCTCAAGAAACATTTATTATTATCATCATTTTTAAAACAGTTGTGCTGATTAATATTTTTGTAGAAACCTTTTTTAAGATTCTTTAATGAATGGAAAGTTCAAAAGAGCAGTATTTATTTGAAATAGGAATCTTTTGTAACATTATAAATGTCTTTACTGTCACTTTACTGTATAAATTCTTCTAGATTAGCAGACTGGTATCTCTCTCACCTGGACAGTTGCAGCCGTCGACACACTCCTCCTTGCAGACTTCCTGGATGTTTATATTCTGACAGGAAGTGGAACAGGTCGGGGTGCAGTCGCTGTACTCCATGCCAATAGGACACTTAGGGGCTGAGCAAATGGAAACATACATTTATTTACACGCAGTCAATATCAGACTTATGTGAAATGTATTTATACAATTGTGAAAGTGAGTATGCATGTATTACTCACAGCACTGGTTCTGTACATGCCAGTTGGACAGTGTTATGCCGCGATTGGCACAGGTACGGGCGTATTCCAGCATGGCCTGGCACACGCAGTCATCTCCCGTACTGCAGTGACAGGCATCAGACTCGCACACGGACACAAACGCAGCCGCATCCATTAGGTGAGCACAACGCAGGTAGAGCGTAGAGCTGCTCATGGCTTCACACCGTGACATCTGATCCTGAAACACACGCAAACACGCTCAGAAATCTGTATGATAAGGCACACAGAAGGTTGTTTTTGTTTTGCAGGTGAGCGTCTGACTTTAGCTGATTCTCCGGTGCTGTTGCAGCTCTGAGACGGCGGCAAGACACACTGATCCTGAAACACACGCAAACACGCTCAGAAATCTGTATGATAAGGCACACAGAAGGTTGTTTTTGTTTTGCAGGTGAGCGTCTGACTTTAGCTGATTCTCCGGTGCTGTTGCAGCTCTGAGACGGGGGCAAGATGCGTTTACAGGGTTCATCTGCTCCTTTCATGGCCCAGGAGTTTGCAAAGTCATATGGATCATCTGTCAGAAAACCTAAAATACACACATTTATAAATCTATGAATGTCATGAAGCTATATATATATATATATACAGTACATAGCTATATTTAGTATTGAAATATTTTATTATTATTTACACTGCCATAATGTGAAAAAAAAAGTTTTTTTTATTATTTAGACATATATATATATATATATATATATACTGTATAT